ATGTTCCCGACGGGTATTTGGACCTGTTCAACCATTAAGCCTTCGTGGTCTGTGGTTATGACGCTCGCCTTGTCAGCGAGAGGTCGCGGGTTCGAATCCCGTCGGAGGCATTTTATTACACAATGATTTTCCTTAGGACCTTATTCGTTAGGAAGCTACAGGGTAGCCTACGATGTTCCAACATGTCCTTATTAAACACTGTATATGTACCATTCATGATTTATATTATATTTATTCAACAGTGTTAACGGCTAACTTCCTTCAATATCATATACTGTATATATATATATTGTGGGGTGTGGGGTGTGGGGTGTTTTTGTCCTTTAGAGTTCTTAAGTAACTATATTAACTTTTATGTATCGTGTCAATGAGAACTTTTTATAATATGAACAATTATATGATAATGAATAAATGAATCTTGAATCTTAAATAACACAATTTTCAAAACAGAGCAAAAGTTACCGTTATATGAATATTTTGACACAACGGGTAAAAGAAAATCATGAATATATTTTTACAATGAATATAAAGCCTGTAAGCATGCTTACCCTTAATCACTACGGGTCTGCAATATAGTGATTTACATACAGTATATGAGTGAGACCTAGCCTTGCTAAAGTCACACAAGACAACAGCGTAAACGTATACTGTACACGTAATGTGCGATTTTAATACTACGTAACGTGTGTAGCTAGTGGACTAGTATATTTCTGGCCCTGTTAGTTTCCTTGCAACTCCAGAAAGGTTCATTAAACACATCAATGAAAACGCAATGTAAATTGCTCCAAGCATGATATATAAAACGTGTCACCTCACTATGTAGGCCTAAGCGAGTTTTTTTTTTTTTTTTTTTTTTTCGCTTATGGAATTTAAAAAATATAAATTGATAACGATAGTTTCGTTTTTTCCCCAGGTATCGCTCCAGTATTGGAATGGAATGTACACGTGTACACCATGCGCCAGATAGTGGCAGACGATCAGACAGGAACAGCCTACAGTATCATGACTTTTACTTCAAAGATTGGCAAACTCATCACCTCAGTTCTCTCTGGATATGTGTATGGCATCGCCGGTCCAGTTGTGTTATTCAGATCTTATGCTGTGTTATGTGTGGCTGCTGGTTTTATAACATTTGTAAGTAGGCGGGGCTTGGTAGGCGTACTGCCCTCTGAAAATATTGTTTCAAAGTTTCGATTTTTTTTTGACAAAATATATCAATCTGCCGTTTGCGTAGAGAAAAATATATGTCTCTAACCAACATACCGCCTAGTTGGAAATCATAGTAAATAATATATATAATTGGTTTGTTGCGTAAGCACAAGACAAATAAAATAGTGACATAATTGTTGTCGTATCAAGCATAGACCAACAACGAAAGTTTCCTTTTCAGTTGTATGAAAAATCTCCGTTTTTAGTGGGATGCAGCCTTTTGTTATAAAGGAGACTAGAGACATTGTTATAACCGCTAACGAACTTCGCAGACACACTCACATGATGACACCGGTTTTATGAAGTTAAATTGTAGTAATTTTCTTCAATATATTATTTATGTAATTTTTTTTTTTTTAATCTTTAAAGCATACTTTCGGATCACTCGGAAATTCTCCTGGGGTTGTAACATCAACTGAAGCAATGGAGAGCGCAAGAGATGAGCGGAAGTGCCTTCTGGAAAATGGCAACTGCACGACATTACCGCCATTCACTATTGACTGCAAAGTGCATGGAATCCAACCAAATTGATCCAGAATCTCGCATAGTAATAAATTTTAAAGATTGGCAAAAACAGTGGTGGGAAAAGCATAATTTTGAATGAAGTTAAGATACTGAACAAAAAAAAAGAAGAGTGATGAGGAAAGTTACCTTTTTACACAGAGGCTAATTTAAATAAATTGATAATAATAAAAAAAATTATATTTTGTGCTGTCTTTACTTTTTAAAGTGGACGTATATTGAATTCAAATGGGTAAAATGCACGGCATGGGCCTATACATTTTGCAAATTTTGGAAACGAGTAGGCCTAGTACGTTATAGTGTCTTAATATGTAATTAAATAAACCAATTTGTGATTATATATGGTAGGGACTGTATAAAAAAAGAAAACAGATGCCAGCACTATGAATGGCAGACCCTATATAGGCCTATATAAATTAAAATTAATTAAAATGTAACATTCAGAGTATCTCGACAACCGTGCATGTACTGAAACAGGTTTCAGTTTGTAGAACCAATCAATCAATCCTTCCATTTATATGTGGCCATTCCAACAGTTTGAGTGGTGCAAAATGCGGAAAATAAAAAAAATAATATAGATGGGCACCAAGTATAACAAAAAGCTAAACTACAAATTTCTAGGCCTATAATATACAGGTTCAAAATCTAAAGGACCCTTCGGACTATAATCTCAGAATTTACGTACCAATACACCAAAGTGCCAGTTCTGACCCAGGTTTCCTAATTTAGATTTAAATTTGTAATCTATGGGCTTAATCTCGAGGAGAAGATATATATCTCGTGATATAGCCTGTACATGCACATAAACGAAGTAAATTTAAAACACGCTTGGTTTTGTTTAGATGATTGCCGGCGTAGTCAATACACTTCGCGATACAGATTGATGTTGGCCATATTTATTGTTTATAGTAGCATGGAGGTACAAGAGGTTTTACTTTTATTCTAATCTATTATACATATTATAGTTTTCTAATACATGATACATATATGAACGCCCCATGCGTCAGTGCTGATATCTACGTGGAGAATTAATTATAATATTGATACCAACATGTGAACAAATTACCTTTGACCTCATATCCATATCCATCGTGTGGGAAACGGTAAACAAAGCAGAGAACGTTGTAATGTTATTGTTTTGGCTGGGTGTAAATCAAATGAAATGTCAACACCTTTATGAAGCTGATTTTTAAGGTGAAGAATGTCGAAAAACATCAAGAAATTGGCAGGAATTGTAGGTGAAAAATCTACAAACGAAAATGACGAGGAGCTCAATGAAGAAAACGGTGTCTTATTTTATGTCAACAAAGATGGCTTTCCCGTTTCAAACAAAACTTGGGAACGAATGTGGGATCATGTCAGCAAAAAACATCCGGATGGAGAAACCATGGTGAACAAAATAAGGGAATCAAAAGAATTACCAAAGGTAATACAAAGTATTGGTAGGAAACGGGCTACTAATTTAATGATTGGTCTAAATTGTAAATTGCACAACTCTTTCTAGGCCTAGGGCCTACTATTACTAAAAAGGCTAATCTGGCCCTACCTAGGCCTAGCTAGGCCTTAGCCTATATACTGCTACTACTAGGTCTACTAGACTATAATAGGCCTAGCCTAGTAATACTAATAGTATAGGCCTAGCGCCTAGGCTAAGCCTACTTGTTTTGGCCTTGTGCCCAGTAGCGGCTAGTAGGATGTAATTTATGGGGGTGGGACTAAGACTGTCTCTTATACACATCTAGATGTGTATAAGAGACAGGACCTAGCCCCAAAATTAGTCTTTTTTTATATTAAAAAATTGGGACTTCCAGATGATCATGGCAGTCAAAATGGTCGATTCAGTACCAATGTTATTTTGCTTGACAGATCAGACCCGGACGAAGCGATTGCTGAGAAAGATTTGTCTTGGTGTAAGGCAGTACAGTACTGGGATGGAAAAACTAGCCCTATTTTTTTTTTTTTTTGGTCCGACTACCCGACGAGATTTGGCCGATGTGGGGGGGAGCTTAACCAGACCGATGGGAGGGGGCTTCATCCCCCTGACCCCTGCTTGTGCCTTGCCAAGGTCTCCCTAGTATAAAATTTTATGTGATCAGTTGAATTATTTTATTATGTACTTGCAACATTGAATGATTACTTACTAGGCCTAGGCCCTAGAAAGGCCTAGCAGTATAGTAGAGTAGGTCTAGGCCTATAGTATAGAATAGAATGGTGCTTAAATATTAATTATTATTATGAATACAAATTGAATTAAATGTTTTTTTACAATTATATTACAGGTGGCTGTACCAGTAGTGCCAACTTTCCATGAAGGTACAACTGTTTCAGAAAAATTAAAAGCAATACAGACTTACATGAAGAGTCTTCAGTATCCTTTTCACAAATAGTTCAAAACTGTTAGAATGAAGGAAGAGGAGGTCCTGAAGTTTTTTAGTTTTAATTCTGGTAACAACAGAAATTCAATTAATTTTATGGTGTTCAATACAACATTGAATGGTATTGAACAACATTGTCGCTTGTCTGAGAAAGAAACAACATTAAAAGTAGTAAAGTGCATTAAAATAGTAAATACACAAACATAAAATATTTGATAAACGTCAACAAAATATAAAGTGACACATCGAACTGCATAAAATCATATGCAAAACTAAAAATTATGTGAATAAAATGTTAAGTTTAAATTGATATTTTATGCAGACTAAATCTATGAAAGTGTCCTAATTTTCTATTTCTGGTTATAATACTGGAACTTCCAGTGGAAGGAAAAGGACAGTAGCAAAAATTTTTCTATTTTTAATTTTTAATGTTGTGCCTGAAATTTACAAAAAAATAAAGCAAAATTTTTACAATTTTACATTGTGGACCATGACATGAGGCCCTAGTCAGCCCTTTGTTTAAACCCCCCTGTTTTGAACCTCCTGTTGGGCCCATGTCAGCAAATTTCTGGAGCCTCCACTGGTTCCATACAGTTTTTCTTTGCTTGAAGGCCTAGAGAGAACCTTTATCAAATCTGCTATGAATACATGTTGTTTTCTCCTTCATAAATTTGTTAGATACAATCACACAGGAACTCAATTCTTTGAAATAAAGAAGAACAGACCACTAACGGGGTAAGTTTCAATTTTCAGCAATGTTGGCGATGTAGATTAATGGTTGGTGGTAATAAAGATTCTTGCCTTACAACCTCCCAGACTCCCGGGTTTAATTTTTTTGACACTACAGGATTTTTTTTCTCATAATGAAAAGACATCTCCACTCTCAGTATCACAATAAGACTTGGTTTATGAATCTGTGCATCATGTTATTTATTTACGAGGGCCCATGCAAGGGGATTGTATTTGCTTCTACTGTAATGGAAGCGGTTTGGTGCAGTGGGAGCGGTTTTGTTTTCCAACCTCGCTGTGCATTTTGCTTGTGTTCCTTGACCATGGCACTTTATCTGCATTGCTTCTCTCTACCCAGGAGTATAAATGGGTACCTGGTGAGGTTGCCTGCTCCTGCCCTGATTACCAGCAGCAACACTTAGCATGTGGACCCAATGACCAGATAAAAGTATTGCGCTTTATAAGCTCAAAGAAGAGGAACATTATAAGTACTTATACCAGTACCATTGCCAGTATTGGATCTAAATTTAAGCCCGAGACAAACACCTTGAAATATTTTCACATTTTTAACCGTGTCATTTTGTAAAAATTATTTATTCTGTTTCAGGTATAAAACACATTATAAAGGCAGAACAAGTCTGAAATTATTACATTATAATCAAAACAAACACAGAAAACAGAAAAAAATATACAATACTAAAAAAAAAACCAGAAATTCACCTAACAAAATAAAAACAAAGCATTTAGTATTTACACACGTAATTTCCAATTTTTAATTACTGGCCTTTGATATGTACAGACCTAGTACAGATTATTGGTAGAGCAATGGTAAATCCAGGAATTTGAAATAGAGGGAGCCCAGGGATGCTCTTTCACAGTTGGAGAGTCTATACCACATCAGGCCTACCATTGTTGGGGCTGAGACAAGAAAATTTATGATTATGGCACCTCTAAATGGCAGGAAATGGCACCCTCAGACTTGAAATTTTAATAAAATGTTCTTCTTCAATTTTCTCCATTTTTAAAAATGTTGTCCCCTTCCCCCACACTTGAATCCACCACTGATGTGTGTAGATATGTTTTCATTTCAGATTAATGGACTCTGCCAAAGAGATGATTAAGGAATCCCTGCCAATCAAATGTCTGGAAGCTGTGATTCTTGCAATGTATCCTTGTACTGTAAAATGAAGCTAGAGTGTAATATTATATCTAATAATGCCTGAAATTGAGACAGTGGATCTCAGTCAGGGGGACATTAGACCCCTACTTGTGGGAGCAAATTTTGAAAACAGTACTATTAGGGGAGTATTTTTTTTTAATCCCCTTTCCTTAATTATTGACTTTAGATATTTAACAAATTCAATATCTGGATTGGAGCGTTTCCCCCTCAGTTTTAAAACTCAATTTTCCGGTGTGATTCACCGACATGTTGTGCTGGGCGTCTACTACAATGGAAGGTACGGAGCACTGGGCATGAGCAGAAGATCAGACCTGATGGACAAGCCGCTTATCTTCTCCGTAAGTTTAAAAATCTAGTAAAGGGTCTCTGATGAGATTTTTAGAGGTTGGTTGGGGGTACCCTCTCTGTGGTCAAACCCTCAAGAATTCATTTAAAACAAAGCTGTCAGTGTGCAGTGGTTAAGATGCTTGCCATCCAATGAATTCCAGTGTTCTGGGTTCAAATCCTGTCAGGACACAAGGATTATTTTTCACAACCAAATCACCTCCACTCAGCCTCATAATGAGACTTAGTTTATGTAGAGCATCATGTGTATATGTTTGCCTTGTGAATTGTACGTTTGTGGGGTGCAGCGCTTCGTATCTGTGAAGAAAGGCGCTTTAGAAATGACCAGATTGGATTGGATTTGAATTGCGAATGGACTGGCACCTATGATTGAACAGTACAGTAATATATTTGCTGTTGTCAAGTTCTGGCTACATACACAAAAATAACATTCATTTTTTAACCAATTTCAATACAGTCGTACAATCCATACTATTTGCTTGTGATACCCCACACCCCCCCCCCATCCTTTCCTGAAGAGTACAATAATAAAGTGATTGGTGTAAGGTGTTGGACTTCTGATTGTGAGAACGGGAGTTCGTGACCGACACTCGCCATATTGCTTGTGTCCTTGGGCAAGACACTTTACTTACATTTGCCTCTCTCCGCACCGGAAGATAAATGGGTACCTGGGAGGATGGTATGGCATTGAATATGGGTCATGCACGTTCAAGCAGCAGTGACCAGGGATACTCCCCAGGGAGCAGAGAAATTTTTCATAATGGAGAATGAAAAATGATGTTGCCAGCGCCTTGTATAATCGCTTGTAGAATCTGCGGATTGTGAAAGGCGCTATATAAATTATGGTTCTATATAAAAAAAAAGAAAAAAAAAAGAAACATTGTTACCGCCTACCATCTACCATATCCACCATACACATTGTATTCTCATGAAAATAATGAAAAAATGGATTACCCCTTAATTATGAACAACGCTGTAAACTGTCCATCAGGAATTTAATATGAGAATTCTTTCACCTATTCTGTATGAGAGCCTCTTTAAGTCAGCTTCGCAAGAAATTGTTGAATAAATAAACAAATAATACTACTTTATTTGTTTTTCAGACATTAACAGATTTAGTGATGAATTTTGAAGAAGCCTATCGGAATTGTAAGTTCAATGTACAGTATACATATTGTTAATTATAACATTAGTTGAAAGATTATGATACTATACTTGATATTTAGTCACACTTATTTTACATGCCAAATTGTTGTATTTTCCATTAATAAACAATCTGTAAGTCGATTTTTATCTAAGTCAAACAATTTTTCAATGGAATTTTGGATTTGACTTAGGCAAGTCTCACTATGGGATTGTATTTTGTTTATTAGTGGTGAAAAAAAAGGTGGTAATTTGAGGATTTGAACCCAGGACCCTGGATTTGAAACTATACATCAGCTGCAGTCCTATTTTCACAAAAACTTTAACTATCTCACAATTATAGTCAAATTTTATAAGGATAATACATTTATTTTATTTTTGCTTTTGCCTTTAATTTTTTTTCACTGTTGATAGATTGGCATCTAGTAAAGAAGGTCAAAATTGGTTTACCAGTTCCACATGACCCCCTCAGCTATGCACCAATAGAGTGGAAGGTGAGTAAACTTTGACAACTGTGTAATAACTTATTTCACAGCAATAGCATCAACAACCTTTTTGTGCACATAATTGTTTTGTTCTTCTGTAAAGTGTCTGCTTGGATTAAAGCCTCCTTTGCCTCTTGCCTAGTCTATTGTTAATAATGTTTTTGTAGCATTAATTATAAAAAATGTACGGCATTATTTTATTTGTAGAAATATTATTTTGGCAAATATTGATGAATTATAGGCTGAAAATAATAAAATAGATAATAAATATGAGCTCCATTAATTAAAATAATTTCCATTTTTTTCTCTATATTAAAATTTTAGTATTTATCCTTGAACATGGTGAAATCATCAAGCAGTGAACTAAGGAAAGAGATAGAGAAGCTTGCAAAAGATATGAAAGGCAGGGTAGGTCATAGGACATTCATTCATATCTGGATATTCATCAGGATTTTAGTATCAAAAGTTTATAAAAATCCAACTAATAACACTTACTTTTTTAGCGATATTTCACTTCCACACTGGAAGCTTTCGCAAGTCAGTATGTCAGTTGATGATGTTATGTGGTGATATACCGGCTTGATAATAAAACTTCCAGTGTGGAAGCGAAACGTTGCTTAAAAAAGTGTTATCAGTTTGATTTTTACATAAAGAAACTTTTGATACTATCAGTCATATCATTTCACATTCTTACATACTGTAATATAATAATATACTAGCCCAACAATATCAGTTAGAACCAACTTCCCCCGAAAATTTACAATTTAAGGGTTTTAGAGGCTTATTTAATCATTTTAGAGTCTACTAATATGTAGCTGGTGCCACCCCTGTCCCCCCACCCATTTTGTCACCAGATTTTTAAATTTCAATACATTACAATTCCATAATATTGAAATAAGAAAAAAACAATAGTACTTCATGGTTCACAAAATTTTTTGTCATATAACTATACTTTTTTTTTTAAAGAGATAAATGTTAGTATTGTAGCTCACCAGTGGTGGGATTTGGTAGCTAGTACATGTTCTACTGTATACCATTAAAAAATGTGGACACCTTTCTACACCATTTCTTCTCTTTTTCTTTTCCTGTTCTTCAATTCTAAAATCTATATTATTACTAATTTATTAATGTTCCTTCTCATATACAGGCTTACCATAGGATGGAAGTGGGCCTCCATTTATGGTTCTCTATGAGGCTTCAGAGTCCGTCCAAAATGATTAGGGCCACAATCCATAAAAATACAATTCATTTTTTAGTTGTTTTTAAATTGTACATTTGTAAACATTTTTCTGTATGATCATCATTCCCGATGATGACATAATTCATTTTTAAATATTGAATCCCAACACGATGGCGTGCATTTCAATACTTGGGAGTATGTATTGTACTTTCTTATCTGAGATTAATCAGTGGACCTTTCGGTTTTTTTCTGTATGTTTTTGCTATAATTATCTACCAGGACTTCCTTGAAAAGCAGTGCTAGTCACTGAATGGTTACACCATGAATAAAGAAAGCTTAAATAATCATATTAACCATTAAGCTTATCTCAATTGATAATAATAATATTAATTATACTGGGTATAACAACTACCTCCTTAATATATTTCAGTACTGTCAGTAATTGATATTTAGCTGGACATTAATCAATTTGTCATAAAATAAAAATGTTTTGTGTATGCAATATTGCAATTTCTTTACAGTTCAAAATGACAGCAGCTTCTTATGGAGCACTACAACGAGAGGTGCGAAACAATTACACGACATCTCCAAGGAAGGAGAGCAAACCACAGAAAAAGGACCCACCAAGCACCCTGAAAAAGGAAAATTCAAAAGAAACAATACCACAAGATGTTGACCCAACCCTCATGGACAAACTTAAGTTAGCAGATTATGAAGTTCGAATATAGTATGCTGCTGGTTACCCTGCAAAATTGTGCAATTCAGTTCTATATGCAGCAGCTGTACTACCCCTATTGAACAAGCATGGGTAACCCCCCCCCCCTCGCCCATTTTTTTCACACACGTGATCAGACATGTGAGGTCTTGCTTTCACAAGAGAGAGCTTTCGATTTGTGTGACGACGCAAACTAGGACCGATTCACTCATGCGTGACCATCCTACGTTCTTAGCAAAACATAGATTTGGCCAAATTGCATCCTAGAATCCGCGCACTCAACATTCTCGCATGCGCAGATGACTTTATGTGATGTCATTACGGTCTAGTCTCTACTGTTCTACTGTTGTGTGAGCCAAAGCTCCCTTTTGTGTGACAAGGGTGGTGTCAGTTGGGGGAGTGCGAATTGCTGCCAGACTCCCTCCCAGCCTATGCCCCTATCTATCTATTTTGAGGCTTTAAAAAAAAAACATCTTCCTTTACAAGAGACTGAAGATTTATTTTATATATGAATATTAACAGCAAATTTTATTGTCTGAATTTTATACCATCTACAGTACTCATTTATGTACAGTATTAACATTTATTGTTATTTTGTTGTCATGCACAATTATTAAAGACATAAATACAGCTCAATAGGTATCCGCTAGTACAGTCTAGAATTCATTATTTTATAGGTTTAGCAAATTCACATACAGTACAATGTTTTATTATTGTCTTCCTATATTGTAATCTTATTCCTTATACTTTAATTTATGTTGTATATTATTTCTTAAAAGAAATAAAGTATTACTGTAGTTGTATTTTATCACCTGCTGAAGGTAAGAATATTCATTAAAATATATGAAAAGGCTGTCTGTATTTTTGTTTTCATTCTTTGATTTGTAGCTTCAAAAATTTTTGTGTTGCCTAAAGCTGACCGATGCAGAATCTTTAAAATGAAATCGGGCTTTTCTCCTTTACAGACTTTCATTTAAATCCATAGCCATAGGTTTTGGTTACCATCATACCATGATGAATGGGTTGAGTGATGGGTAGCCATGGAGTTGAGAATCAGACCAAGGCCTACAGCAGTCGCAGTACTAACAGGGAAGGGGAAACTGCTGTCCCCTTGTCAATCGACGCAAAGATGAGGTTATCTGAACAGAAAATATTAATTGATCCAACTTATTGTGATTCCCAATCCCTTAAGGTTGTGGTCTAAAAGCACAATTTTAGGCTATGTTGCAATGACAACACTCCGGTGACAGCTGTGTAGCGATTTTAAGGACACGTGAAAAAATGTAACACAAATAATTGAAAAAAAAAATTAACTCGATATAAGTTTATTTAGAATCATAAATACAGTTAATTTAATTTTTCTTATGAAATAATTTCTTACTCTTATAAAAATAATTTAATAGCGAAAGACATGTCTAACTTTTCAGCTAAAATATAAATTGGTAAAATTTAATGGTTTGGTTTTATAATGATTATTAAAAAAATTATTCAACTCATGGTTAGTAAACCTTGCTTTTAACCTTTCTAATTATTATTAATCTATTATTGTACTACTGTAATTGTCAAAATTAGCAGTCTTTAAATTTCCAATTATATATTCAATATTGAATATTCAATTGTATTCAATTTTAGACACAACATACTGTAGTACTGTAGTTTCATTTCTCATACCAATTCCAATTTACTTATTGAACAATATTGAGGATCATCCTTTATAGACAGGTGTCTCAAATGTACACTTGCTAATACAATGCAAGCAACGACACGACAGCACGATAAATGACACGTACAAACCAAATATTTAGCATGCTGAATGGATTATTCCGCCATAGGGAATGCGCAATTCCATCCATACCAGGCTAACTTTGCACAAACTTTATAAAAGATTATATTAAAGAACAAAATATCTTTTAGTATTTTGTTTACTGCTAGATAAGTGGTAAGGAGACCAAGATTTCAGAATATAATAATAATAATAATAATAATAATGATTGCAATGTCATGACATCATGACCATATTTAGGCATTTCACACATTTTTGTCAAATAAAATTTGAGTCTTGACAGGGGTTTAATTTGTGTCAAATCAGTACAGTTATACAGTACTCATAGACACGAACAAAAATGGTAATGTTTAGAGAGCAGTAAAATTTGTTACCTCTGCCAAGATTTACTTTTAGGGAGAAAAGGTCAGGGGACATGGTGAAGGTCACAGAATCAATTTTTTACCCTTGAGCATAAATGGAAATTTTTACTTGACTACTTTATGCTAATTTAATTTATGTTCTCATTGGCATAGGAGAGGCACTAGACAGTGATTTTATTCACTTTTTTGGCAATTCTGCCTGACCAATTGAGTGTTGTTTTTTCCTCTCTCTGTTATTTTGTGTTTGTCAGTTTTAATGTTTATTGGACCAAATATGAAAAAAAAAATAAAAAAATAATGGAATTGCCCATCATATAGAGCCTGCGTACTGTTCAGTATTCACGTACAGGGTGAAGGAATACACTCCATAGAGTGACTGCTCTAGTCTTCTTATAGTTTTTTTTTTTACTTCTGGACAAATAGTTATTAACATGAGGAATGTTTTAGTACATGATCTTTGGAATAATTCTCTTATACCTACTGTACTTCAGCTATGTAATTGTCCTTTAAGTAATACTGTCAGTTATCAACTCAAAGAAACTAATTTCATAAACGTCTTTGACGATAAATCTGAAATCTTTAATTGCTTGATCCTAAGGTTTACTTTCAAAATAATGTGAATGATATTTTTCATGACACTGACAGCAGTTTGGAAACGGCGTACAACCTGGCTTACAACATGGCTCCACGCTGTGATCGTGGTCCTTTGTGATTTGCGATATACCCCACACCATGCCAGCCTCAAAGGCCTTCTTCAATCCATTCAGTTGGGTTATCACGGCTTGATACTGGGTTAAATTGTTCAGGTTATACTGTTCTGACGGATCTTGTAAAAGGTCAAATAATAGAGGTGGGTTGTGGAATGTTCGTTTAGCACTTGGACGACAGTCAGGATCATGATTTTGTGGATCGGAGTTGATTTGTCCTTCGGTGTAATAATGCGCTTTAAATTGCCTGTTTCGAACAGCATACACTCCATACTTTGGCTGGGCCTCAGTAAAATAGTAATAGAAATTTTCACGTAACCCCTATACATAAAACACAATTAAAATTAATTTTCATGTTAAATTTTTCAGGTCAAATCATAGGTGGCTAAATTGCACAATAATTTTACAATAAAAATGATGGACAATAAATACACATGATTTTCTATTCAGAACAAAACAATGTAGCATCTACAATAAAGGAATGGAAATATTTAAAAAGGGTCTCAAAAGGGCAGATTTAGGGGTAAAGGGGGTAAGCTGTTAAAGAATTAATGTAGAAATAATAAGTTTAGGTTTCAGGGTGTGACAATGCGAGTGAGTAAGGTAGAAAAGAGGAAGAGAAACGATATTAGATCTAAAAACTTTAGTATTTGAATTTAAAATTGCATAAATAATTGTAAGAAAGGAAAGAAAAAAAAAAAACACTGGCAGCAGAAGTCATAAAATTAAACAAAAAACATTCATTATCAGGAAAAGAAAGTCTTGCCTTTATGAAAAAAAAAAAAGAGCAGAATATAATAGTGACCTTTTTTGATGGAAATCCAGCCTAACATGCTCCTTGGTAAATCGCTTTGTGAATTTAACCAAGGGAATGTTGCCCAGAAATAATACAGGCTAATTTTTCGAAGCAGAAAAAAAGGAGAGCAGAAACAAATAAAACCCTGTTCAGATAGGAATTGAGTGCAAACAGTCTGACTAACATTCTCCTTGGTAAGTCAATTAGTAAAGTTGACACAGTCAGAAAGAATACAGGATGATTTTCCCGAGCAGAAAAGTCCAGTGACGAGTTGGACGGCCGAGCGGTTAGTGCAGGGGCGCTGCAACCTACAGCAAAAATATCGGCGCTGGTTCAAACGGCACATTCGCCTATTTCTTTGATGATGGAACAAGTCTCCTCAGATAAAGACTATAAACCGTAGGCCCAGTGTACACAATTTGGCTTGTGCACTTAAAGAACTCAGTACATCTTTAGAGACTAGAAGGTGGTTACCCTGGTGTGCTGGTACATACAGTACAGCCCCTGTTGTGGACAGACGAGAGTAGCTGGTACCAGTTTACCGGGGAGCTCAGACATGAAGAAACGCTTAGGGAAGACGAAAGTTACTGTACGAGCTAGTCCACAGTGCTTTCCGACTCCGGTATAAATTGCTATATAAATCAAACTACACTACATTACATTACAATGTATAAAGCATGATAATACAACACACAGCGCAGAACTTATATCTCCCTTAGTAGATTGATCGTGCATATGCAAAATATTACTGTCTAATAAAACCTACTACATACTTAAATCCAAGTGCGAATGCGTATGATTTGACAAATGTAAAGTTGTTTTAGTCAAAATTAAAAATAATGTATATAATCGCTCTTTATTGGTCTCTCACAGCAATATTATATGACCATTAGTCTATTGGAACAGGCGAGTTTTAAGGCGAGATTTGAATTTGTGGAGAGACGATGACCGACAGAAGCCGATTGCCTAGTCGAAGAAGCCCTTTGGCTGAAATTTGAAGCGAGTTCTAGGAAAAACAAGAATGAGCGAGTCAATTTCGAAAGTCCAGCACGTAATTGAACATAAAGTGATATATTTTGTAGATAAGCAAGAGCAGAGCCATAAACACACCTATAAAGCAGGGTTGCAATCTTGTAAACAATGGATTGCCCAATCCAGTGTGAACACAGCCTAATAGAGGGATTCGGCGATGTTTGTTTACAGGCAGTCATGTGACATAACTTGGGTATACATGAAAAACATTACAGTGTTAATGATAAAGAGTTAATAAAGATGTTAAAGATAATGTTATGGTTGCAAAACAACCACCCACTGTTAACATGAGAAATAAATGGCTAGGAAAGACAATATGATTGTTCAAAATAGTGTGTATTTGTTTATCCTAGCGTTCTACTAGGATTGTATATGCTTTGAAATTTAAGTGATCCTTCACAAACCTTAGCTAGCCCTAACATCGCAGCGTATTCCACGGGTCAAAGACCATATCATGCATACCTAACCATGCTGTATAAGTCCAGGGGCCTGGCCTAACATTTGTCGAAAAATCTCAATGTTTGTGGCCAGTATTCTTTACAGCATTAGCAAACCATTACGGCAAAATTCTCAAGTTCAATTTCCGATCAATTTGGTATAGTTTACTGGGAATTACGATGATTTTTACAACAATAACAATCTCCATGTAAAACACCGCTGTGCGAAACCATTGTTTATATCCAACACCCAAGTTACGTCATGTGACGGCCATCGTCAAACCCTTCTATTTAACCAGAGAACTGCACAAAGGTTTACCAATACACTCACCTTTACCCCACCAAAGAGGATCGGGGACATGTCAACTCCATCGATGACAGCTTTGGGCAGAGAGGCACCAGTGATCTTCGAGATGGTTGGGAGTAAATCAAGTGTGCTAGCCAGCTCCGTTGTTCTGCCAGGAGTAATCTTCCCTGTCCAATATGCAATGGCTGGAACTCGCTGGCCTCCCTCATATGTTGTCCCCTTGCCGCACTTCAATAAACCTGCATTACCCCCTCTGTTTTGGTTTCGTAGGCTGGGCCTAAAAACAAAAGAAAAAAAAGATTTAAATATTAAAATTAGCAGTAGCTAAGCCAGTTAATTATAGCTTTATATCACTCCATTTTCATATTGCATTTGATGCAATATGAAAATCAGAAGATCAGTGCATACTCTCTACCATTTCAAGTCAAGGGATAATATACTCATTAATTACTATACTGAATAGATATTATTATGGCGATCTACACAACAAAGGACAGGGATACTTTTATCGTCACATGGGAAGACAATTTTTGTAGTGTCTTTTAAATGTTTTAATTTTTGTGGTATATGAAATTCACAGACAATTAAATGATATTAAATAAAATGAAAAGAATACTATGATAAATACAGTAAGTAACATACAGTAATGAAAAAACTAGGTTTACTATAAAATTCTGTATACAAGGAACTTTTAATATAACAAACAAATATTTTGAAAGACATACCCATTGTCAGAAGTCAGGAATATAAATGTATTTTCTAAAACCCCACTCTTCCTTAATTGATTCATCACTTCTCCCACAGCCCAATCGAGTTCCGCTAATGAATCACCAAACGTCCCACGAAGTGTAGAGTTACGAAATTTCTCGCCAGCAAACTGCGGATGATGTGTATGTTGAAAAGCAAAATACAGTAAGAATGGATCCCCAGACTTTGCATTACTTTGGATCCAGTCAGTCGCTTTACTTACATAACGTTCTATTAATTTCAACAGGTCTACCGGTTGATCAATAATAGTGGTGTTGTTGTAGAGGGGGCACCCGGTGTATATAAGGTCACAATCGTTGAAGCACTTATCTCCGGGATAGAAACACTTCAAACAAGGGCACATATCATGAGAATACGGAATACCAAAATAGTGGTCGAATCCCTGCTTCGTAGGCAAGTACTTGCTGTCCTTCCCAACTCCAAGATGCCATTTACCTACCATGGCAGTCTTATAACCCTCTTGTTTAAGAACTTCTGCAAAGGTGGTTTCATTGAGTGGTAACCCTCCGGCATCATCCGGAACAAACACACCCGGCCAGATCCCAGATCTAGTCTGATACCGGCCTGTCAAAAGAGCAGCCCTAGTAAAGACAACAAAAATTATAATTCATCACTACAGTATAAAAAAAAACAGGATATCATGAAGGAGTAACATTACATAAAATTTCTCTTATTTAATTCATTTTGTCACCCACACCACAAACTAATACGTCGTGAAAATAAAATAAACATGTTAAATAATGTGCTGTTGCTGATACGGAAGTTTTGTATTTAAGAACTAATAAGCCCAATGAATGAAATTTATGACGTCACAAATTATTACTTTGTGTTAGTTTATGGTGTAAGCAACGGTTTATTTGATCATCTTAAAAAAAAATATGCAATGGAATAAAATAAACAATACGTTAATGCGATTAGGCCTATTTACACAGTCAACAGTGGCAAATGACAACACTGACAGCAGAAAAAAATCAGAAATATATTTTTATTTTTATTTTATTTATTTATTTATTTAGGCACACAACACATGTGCCAAGGATTGTCAATAGCGAATATATCACTTTCCTACTTTTAGATGACAATCCCTTACACAAGACAAACATACACACACATGATGCTTTACACAAACTAAATCTCAATATGAGATTAAGGGAGTGGAGTTTTTAGTCGTGAGAAAAAATCCTGTAGCACTGACAGGAATTGAACTCAGGACTGGAAGGCAAGCATCTTAACCACCAAGCTATTCAACTCCACTCTCACATATTCTTTTTGATGATCCACACTGAACGAGATGTGAATGCCTGAGTAACGTTTCGCTTAACGTAAAAGAATTTAGTAATTCCAAAATTGTCTGGCCAATCAGCGACTCTGGTCGTCCGTTGCTGAGCATACAGATGGTAAAACAAAACAGTCCTATGAGGGCTGTTGTTGTCACTAGAGTGTAGAGGACTTGGTCATTTCAAAAACTATTGCACAAAAAAATTAATGCCCGCTAATCTGTGATTTCGGTCGTTGCTGCTAAAAAAAGAGATAAATTCTATAGAATAGTTTATACAGTATTAAATTAAGATTTTTATATGCTATAAAGATTTATAAATATAATATGGAATTGCTAACAGTAGTTTAACTGAATTTAGACACTCCTAAACATGAGAAAAATGTAAATCAAGGCTGAAATTTGATATTTTTTTTTTTGTGTTCCTCAAAAAAATCAACGCGGATAAATTTGTTCTATTTGATGATGTACACGCGATGTAGATCATGCGATCTACAACCTCTGAATTCGCCTAGTAAAGAAGAAGTCTGTGCACTACTGTATATGCTAGTAAAACCAACTTCTTATTGTTCCATCTGAAGGACGGTACAAATACAAACACAACACCAGAGCTAGGCTAGCTAGCTTGAGAGGTACCCAAAAAATGGATATCCATGATTCATGCTGCAGCTACCACCAGTTTAGACAGATGGCCTACACTCTAGGCCAAGGTTCATTCCATATGTAAAAAGTGTACAGTGGCCTACCTTGAAGGGCTGCAGACTGGACTGGCAGAATAAAATTGTGTAAATCTGAGACCATTTTCTGCAAGCTGATTGATGTTTGGGGTTGATGAAGTTGGGTGACCATAAACCTCCAAATCCCCATAACCAAGGTCGTCAGCAAACAAGATCACTATATTTGGTTTTGATTGAGCATTTGAATGAACAAACAAAGACGAAAATAATAGAAGTAATAAACAAAATAAGTAACTCATGTTTCACACTCACGCCTTCACACTCTGCTGGGCTGGAAGATAGATAGATCACCTGACTAGTGTTGCGTATCGTAGCCGAATAAACTGTTTCTCGAGGACGTTGATTGGATAGAATTTGTTTGAGTTTAATTCATTGCCCAATCAATTTACTTCTCTAATCACACACTTGGTGAGTGTAAACACACATTCCGTTGTTGTTGTTCTGTGTTTTCGTTTGGCGTGCGGTAAAGCTAAAAAAATAGTTTAAAGTGATCAATATCACTTCGAATCTGGATAGAAAATGGATGACGAGGAAGTATCGTTTCAGTCAAAAAAACGGGTACAGACAAATACAATTGTGTTATGATATTGATAACTGAGTGGTAGGTAGGCCTAAGCTAGACTTGCAAGGCCGAAAGAAGAGTGCGCTGAGGGCACTTCTTCTGCAGGCGAATCAGCCTGAAAAAGCAGGCTGGGCCTAGGCCTACATAGGGCCTAGACTAGGCCTACCACCTAGAGCCTACTAGTATCAGGCCAGGTCCTAGAGCTACCCGAGGATGGTAAGGCGCCAAGGCCCCTGCCTAATCCCTATTTAAACTACCAAATATACTCACATTACCAATCAAAATTAATTAAATTTAATACCCTCTATAAAATAATATTTAATATTTTTATTTATTATATGTGTCTACAGGTAAAGTAGGGTCCCAAGGGTACCGTAGCACACTATCACATTACGGTAATTATGATGAAGGTTAGGGTTGGCAATAGCTAGGGACATTCACCATCATTACCGAGATAGTGAACAGTACTGTAATCTTACTAACTTAGTCACTGCTTCTGCTTAGATGAATTTAAAATACACCATCAAATTAAATGAACACTGTGGCTAGAGATGCGGTACTGTATTTCTACTTCAGTTTGCTAAAGGTATGGTAAATGGCATTACCTCACCATCACCCAATGAAGAGCCAAAATGTGCGTGACGTCATCTTTCAAGACTGGCATTACAGATCACCCACGACGATGAGCGGTGAAACGTAACAATGTACTGGGTAATTAGAACATTAAAAAGTACGATACTGTACTTAGTACTGTCATCAATAGGCGTAAGGTTTTTACTCAGTAAGAGTCATGTCATTTATCTATATATAGCCATTATCAAACAAGGACTATATCCTGTACCAAACTCTTGGCATATGCCACTAGGCCTTGCATAATTCTTTGCTTGGTGAAAAACCTAAGCAAGGTCCAGGCCTTCTTGGATTCTTCATTCGTTTGGTGGCAACCCTGCTGTAGTGACAGATTGATCTGGGTGGCATATATCAGTCATAAACTAATTCCTCCATGTGGTCAAGTTCTCAACCCCCAAAATCTCATCCCAAGTTTTAATCCAAGAAGCCTAGGTTATAATATATTCAAAATTACCACGCTTTGCAATCCGCATATTTATGCACTTTGAATACACATGCATAACTGATGCTCCTTGGTTTACCCAACTTTACGTAGATTTCATCGCTGTTCGGTACTTCCCCCAATCATAAACATCATTCATTCGGCCAGAATTCAGATCGAGAGAATGAGTGTCCATAATCGTGATTATGTCAAATTTGTCGAATATACTTTTGATGCAGGCCCATTTAAACAGTAACATGCTAGTAATCCTATAAGAATCCTCTTATTTACAGTTAAATTACAGTATTCATTTATTTAGTGCATGTGTATTGTGTTGTCATGTAAATAGATTAGACCAGATTAAGCGCGAGACAGACCTCGAACGCCAAATGCTTGAGCTTTGGCGTATACGTAAATAAATGACATGACTCTTATTACTGAGTGGAACCCTTACACCTATCTATCGATTACAGCATTATAAGAAAATACCGTACTCTTGCCTAGCTAATCATGTGCTAAGAACATTATTTGCTAGTCACACAGGTTCACCTCACACTGTGTGTGATCTGCAGTGCCGGTCTTGAAAGGTGACGTCACCCACATTCTGGCTCTTCATTGGGTGATGGTGATGTAATGCCATTTATCGTAGCTTTAGCAAATTTAAGTGGAAATAGGGTACCTCATCTCTAGCCATGGTGTTAAATGAAACATTCTACACACTATGGTAATACCCTGTAATATTTTAAAAACAGATCAACTTCTCTACTAAGTATCAGTCATTGTGAATACATCACTGTTAAATATTTATTTACATATGTTAATCAAAATCTAGTAAC